ACCTAATGAGAAGGAAGGACTCACTGGAGAAGAACCTAATGCTGGGAAAGATTGAGGGCAATAGAAGAAGGAGACAACAGAGAATGAGGTGGCTTGGATGGAGTCACTGAAGCAGTAGGCGTGAGCTTAAGTGCACTCCAGAAGATGGTAGAGGACAGGAAGGCCTGGAGGAACGTTGTCCATGGGGTCGCGATGGGTCGGACACGACTTTGCAACTAACAACAACAAATTTAGCATAACATCCAAATACTTAATGAACATACAGCATTCAAAAAGTTAAATTTAACAAAAGGAAATACTAACTATCTGGATATCACATTTTATTTTTCAGATAATTTAATGTGTATTATTAAGTTGAAACACCTTACTGAAATGATCTTTGCACTGTGAAACCATAATTACTTTGCATCATTCTTTAAAAAAATATCCCTTTGCTTATGGGTTCTGAGGGAGATGTTTAATGTCGATTACTTGTGCAGCAAACATTTTGAATCAACAGGCTGAAGACTCTAGATCAGTGGTTCTCAACCTTTTTAATGCCGCGACCCCCAACCGGTCGTAAGTCGAGGACTAAACTGGTCGTAAGTCAAGGACTAAACCGGTCGTAAGTTGAGGACTAAACCGGTCTTAATTTGAGGACTACCCAACCGGTTGTAAGTCAAGGACTTTCCCTGCCCGGGAGCGCCGTGCATATGTGGTTCCGCCCCCTGCGCCGGCCGAGGCGTAGCTGGCAAGCGGCAGAGACAGAGCAGGCCGACCACCAGCTGGCCCAGCCCAAGGGAGGTAAGGCACCCGCTGGAAAAGGGGGAAAAATGGCGGACAGCCTTGCTTGGCGACCCCGTGAAATGGTCGATCGACCCCAAATGGGGTCGCGACCCATAGGTTGAGAACCGCTGCTCTAGATAGCCCCTGGATGTAAATTTCCTAAACCAGACATTATCCTCAATGCTTTCAGTCTGGTCACCTCCTTGAGGCTTGCTCTTTCACATCAATATATAACGAATATACATAAGACTTTTAGCATTTGCTGGAGCAACAAAATACACAATGACCCATGTAATTTCTGTCATTTCTAATAAATGTAACAAAATTATTATAGCAACTATTCTGCTGTGCAAAAGATTCACGCTCTTTACATTCCTTACGTTCTAGAAATGAAATGGCCCAAGGAAATAAAAGTAGAGAATAAATGCTTAAACACACAAAATTCTAGCAATGGGTCCACAAGGAAGGCTTATCACAGAAAACTTGCAGAGTGCTGTCAAAATTACTTGAAAAGAAAGACATACCACAATGGTAGTCAGCAATTCTTGAAGTAATAAGATATGAAATAAATTGTCAACTGTCATGTCCAAAGTAAAGCAAAGTAGGTAGTGTTAATTACTCAGACATCCCAAATTTAAGAATCCGTCTATATCAAAAATAGAACAGAACAGAACAGATGAGTTGGAAAGTACCTTGGAGGTCTTCTAGTCCAACTCCCTGCTCGAGTAAGAAATGGTATACCTTTCCAGAAAAATGGCTATTCTATTTCTTCTTAAAAACTTCCAGTGATGGAGCACCTACAACTTCTGGAGGCAGGTTGTTCCACTGGTTAATTGTTCTCACTGTCAGGAAATTTCTCCATAGTAAAGGTTGGATCTCTCTTTGATAAGTTTCCATCTGTTACTTCTGGTCTTGCCCTCAGGTGCTCTGGAGAAAAGGTCGACCTCCCATCTCTGTGATAGTCCCTCAAATATTGGAAGATAGCTATCATATCACCCCGGTCCTTCTTTTCATTATACTACACATACAAGGTTCCGCAAGCGTTCATCATACGCTTTAGCTTCCAGTCCCCAAATCATCTTTGTTGCTCTTCTCTGCACACTTTCTAGAGTTTCAGCATCTTTTTTGTATCATGGTGACCAGAACTGGATGTAGTAGTCCAAGTATGGTTTTACTAGTGCAGTGTAAAGTGGTACTAACACTTCACTTGATCTTGATTCTGTCCCTCTGTTGATGTAGCCTAGGATTGCATTGGCTTTTTGGGCAGCTGCAGCACATTGCTGGCTCATATTTAAATGATTGTCCACTAGGACACCTAGGTCCCTCTCACAATTACTGCTGTTGAGCCAGGTACTACCTAATCTATACCTGTGCATTTGGTTTTTCTTGCCTAAGTATAAAACCTTATTTTTCTCACCACTGAATTGCATTTTTTTGGATAGGGCCTAGCAAGGCGGTGAGAGGTAGCAGGGAGAAAGTGGAACTGTTTAATCCATTCTTTGCATCTGTCTTTGCACAAAAGAAGAGAATAGTTCAGCCTATCAAAAGCAGTGCTCCGATTGTTTCCTTGACTTTTTTTCTTGCTTTTTATATGTTGAAAGTAGAACTTAGGAATTTGGGTGCACAATTCTCAGTTCTGGCTATGAAATACTGCAGTACACTTTATTAGTACACCCTAATAAAATTATATCTTTCTCAACAAATGGTGCCAACAATTGTTTCTATTTAGAGCAGGCATGTCAAACTTGCGATGTCACATGAAGTTGCGCGACGTATCGGAGCTCTTTCTCCATTGCCGGCAATGGGGTGGGCGCGGTTTTGGGATGACGCATCTGGCCCGCGGGCTGGCAGTTCGACACCCCTGATTTAGAGGTTTAGGTTGTGGCCAGTGTGCTTCCGGCTGACCTTAGCTAACTGATTGGCAAAAAGTTCATCTATTTGTTCTGTTTGGAAAGGGTGCTCTGTAATATACACCTATGGTAATCTAAGTGAAAATTTTCATCAAGAATGGAACAAACCTGCATTTTTTTAACATGCCCCCTCTTTAAACAGCATCAGTAATGAGAAAGCTCTTCTTTTTTCCACTTTGTGAATTAAAATGTCCCCTGGCATTGATTACTTTATAAGGTCTACCATAGGTAGATCATACTTTTTCATAGAGGTAGCTAGTATTAAAACTAGTTGTGTTATGAACTCCCAATGCCCTTTATACAATACGATGGAATTTAAACAGTCTACATGCTTTATGAACATAACGGGCTTTACTGCCAGAATAATTTTATAGCTACTATCAGCCAGCAATATGGGGAGCATAAACCAATTCCACATAAATGCGCACATATTAGGAATTTGCTAGATGAACTATTTTAGCACAAAAGCTCTTCCATTTCCAGTAAATAGATTTAGCAAAGAATGGTTTTCTCAATAGGCCTTAGATTCCTTAGTCTGAATAATTGGAAAGTTATAATGCTTGAGAAAAACTGAAATGTTCAAATGTTCACAAATGGTAATGTGTACTTTATATTTTTTGGATATACTGGAAAAAAAACCCTAAGAAACTTGACACCTCTTTTGATTATATGAATACCCAATTTGTCCTTGAAAGTCACTTTTATCCTAATGGTACAGACATTTAAGTTCATTATCAATTTTTATACAATTCTGTGTGTCTAAAATTAGGCTCCATTTCCCCCCTTAAAATATTTCTAATACATTTATTCTTAAACTATAAAAGGTGAATAACAATAGTTGTTTTATGTAGAATGAATATTAAAAAAACAGTTCTGTTCATTTCTGCTCATAATGGGGATACATCCAGACTGGAAGATGCGACCTACAAAAGCTATTAATATTTTTAAATGTTATATTTTTTCCTACACGTCTACGTATTAGTCAATTCTAACATGTGGGAAACTTGGTGGGGATGGGGGTTGGAAAAAAGAACCACACTGCTCCTTGCATGCTTATCTGAACTGGATTCTCATTTTCATTAAGCTGTTTTTTTTTTAAAGTGGAGCACATTCAATGACCATGGAACAGAATTGTGCTATTAGCCATATCCTTGATACCAGAATGCTTCTCGGCTATGATCTCATGATCCCTGCAGTTGCTAGAATGGCTGAAAACCCGATGCACCAAAAGTTAGTTTAACCCGAGATCCTGATTATGTAGACATTCAATTATAGTGAAACCCATATAAATATATTGTTGTAGACATGAAAAGGATATTTTATTACTGTCTTGTAATAGTATATGAACATTGAAGGCACAGTCAGAGAGATATACTAATATTGATTTGAATGCATGAAATTATTCCAGGTTGCTTAAAATATTTCCCTTATTACATTAACTGATATTTTAATAAAAAGAAATGGCTAGTAGTTTGTCAGTTTCAAATTATTAAAATATGTCTAATAAATGTTAAAAATTCAACATTTCAGTGAGTTTACAAAAACAGAGTTTTTGCTATAAAGCAACTAGATGGATCAATGCCATATTTATTCCCTTCAGTTCTTGAATGAAAATAACAAATAAATAAGCGTATATAGTTCGGGCCATGTGAACTTCCCTTCCAAATGGAGCCTAAGAATTGTTCCCCAGAGTTTCAAAAACTCAAGAACAGTTGGTTTTCCCTTTATCCAGCAAAATGTATTGTGCAAACAGGGCCTATTTGTAAAAAAAAAAAAAGAACCCAGGCTTATATGTTGCTTTAAATTAGTTTGATCTATATCTGTCAGAGGAACTCATTCTATTCTAAGTCTTATAGCTCCAGTAGGAGAAGAAAAAAAAATCAGACTATGAGTGATAAAGCAACAGATCTTTATTTTGTAGTTTATTTATTTGATATTTGTTATTCTATGTATGTTATTCTATCGCCAACATCCGATAACGGATATGGAACAACAAAAAGAAGAAAATTCTATGTAATTAAAATAATTTATTTATAACCTGAAATTTGTAGAATTTGTAGAAGAAATTTGTAGGATGACCATTTAGTGTCATTTCAATCATGTTTACTGTTCCAAAAATACATGCTAACATCATTGGCTTAAAGTAATAAGAACAGTAAATATTAAGAAATTATGGAGATTATTCAAATTTTGTATAACATTTACAAGTACTAGTGAATACAGCATCAATACAACTAAAGAAAAAGAATAAAACAATCCTATTAGTCAATCTTTCTTAAGGTATGCTCAGCAATTGTCTTTGTTCAAATAATTTAAACTACTTACTGGATTGAGAACTACTGTGAAAAATAATTCTCCGCCCTGTATACTTTTGTTTAGTTCTTTTGGACCACCAGGATACTCCTTGTAGAAAATTGTATGAGTAAAAAGGCCACAGGTTTGTCGAGGAAGAACCTGTAGAAGATTATATACAATAATAAAGAAAAGGAAAAAGAATGCATTGGCTAGCTAATGACTTTAGGGCAGACATGTCAAACACAAGGCCGGGGGGCCAGATGCGGCCCGTGAAGTGGTTTCATGTGGCCCACGAAGCCATCCTGGAAACAGCAAGGGAACGGCCCCCACTGCCTTGGCCCTGGCCCAGGCCGGCCGGGAGCCAATGTTCAATTTTGTGGTGGTCATCTATGCTGAAATGCATTCAGTCTTAGCTCCACAAGGCCGCCTAGAAACAGCGAGGAACCAATCCCTGCCGTGTTGGCCCCACCCCCTGGGTGCATGCTGGAGAGGTGTCACCCTTTGTGAGGAATGAAGAAATGGACCATGCCTTGGCGCTTGCCTCGGTCCCACCCCCTTCTGCCAGTGACCCTCAGATCTGTCTCACTCCTGCCCAGGCCCCCACAGGCACCTTTGACATGAACGATGTAGAGCTGGCCACGCCCACCCAGTAGGCCGCATCCACCCTGACCACACCCACCCAGCCCCCCGAGGGCAACCGCAATGCTGATGTGGCCCTCAATGAAATTGAGTTTGACACCCCTGCTCTAGGGCACAGTGCTCATCTCTGTTTCTTGGCCAAGGGACCTGTTTGAAGACATTGTCTGTGGTTATATGACCAGTATGGCTATATGCTAAAGGTGCACAGAACACTGTTACCTTCCCACTGAAGTGATACCTATTAATCTATTTGCATTTGCATGCTTTCCAACTGCTAGTTGGGCAGGAGCTGGGTCAAGTAATGGGAGCTTACCCTTATAATTCTCCTCTGTAAGTCTGAACTATATTTTATAGACTTGACTATTATTTTAATGTTATTTCAAAATATGAAACCACACAAAATAAACAGCACATTTGTCAGGAAGAAAGACCACCTACACATCATTAAAAGAGTGGGAAATTTTAAAAAAAGCACCATTCAAAAATGCCGTATATAGTAAATCTGTACATAGGTTAATATATACATGCAGCTGCCAATTTAAAAATAATTGTTAGACTTTTAAATAAAAATAAAATAAATTCCACGGTATTATAATTAGGTGATATGTTTGCCTGCACTCTCCAATTATTAACCCTTGAGGGATAACTTCAAAATCCCTGTTGCTTTCTCTTTTTTCCCATCCCTTTGTCTGATATTGGACTTGGAAGAAATAGCATTTCAATTAAATGATCATTTCAAAAAGTGATCATTTGTCAGTAAAACAACCCTTAAAATATAGGATTCTTCCAACCAGCATATTATTGTCAGTCAGTTTTATAAAGAATGGTTCACTATCTATTACTGTGGTGACGAACCTTTGGCACGGGTGCCAGAGGCGGCACTCGGAGCACTCTCTGTGGGCACACATGCTGTTGCCCCAGCCTTGCCTCCGCCCGCGACCTCCTCCCCACCAGCAACCTCCCTGGAGGAGTCGCCCCCAAGCATGGCCCATGCGGAGCAGCGCAGCCAAGGACATGGCAGCCAGGCAGCATATACAAGCCTGCCCTCATGCCCGAACGCGCACAGTTGATGCTGCGGGGCATGAGCAGAGGGCATGGCTGCCATGGCGCTGCTGGGTTGCCTGGGCGATCTGTGGCGGGCCTTGGAGGCGGTGAGTGACCCTGCGGGCAGGCAGGGTAGGGCAGGGGTGGAGCAGGGGTGGGGCCAATTTTTGGGCACTTGGTCTCTAAAAGGTTCGCTGATCTATGAGATCACTAGACTATTCCATAACAGCATGCCAATATGTATAGTGGAAATAGAATATTTTTATAGAGGACCTACATGAAGAGGTGTGATAGATTTTCTGTACACCCAGTAATTTGTTTTTTTAAAAAATAATTATTTAGAATTTTTATACCTAAAAAGTAACCAGAAAAAAACATAGTAATTTCAGCAACTTTAGTACTATTACCATAAAATAGGATAGGCCCATCCAACCACTTTCAGACAGAAGATATTTTTCATTTAAATTATGAATGTTTATGTATAAATATAACCTATTACTTTAACTTTCTCTGCTTGACAATGCTTTGCATACTTTTAACAATTTAACTCAATATCCTAAACACTGATATGTAATAAAACTAAAATATATACACATATATACTCAGATTTGCACTCCAAGAATACCAAATACTTAGAAAAGTCTCTGAATTTGATCTCAAAGTACCATCCCCTCAATAAACAGACAGTTTTAGGACAAGAGGTTCCCATCCATAATCCTTAAAGTTAACACCAGCCTCTTCAACTGAGTATAGAATCAATGGTTAGGTAAAAGAGATGGCTGAGCATCCAGCTCTAGCTGCTTTTCAGCTATGCTAGCCACATTTTGACAAGTTTAAAAATGTCAAACCATCTTTGAAGCCATTTTAACATAAAGGACGCTGAAATAAATTACAATCTGGTGGTAGGGCATAATAAACGAAAAATAGCTCTTCAGATAATGTGAACATTTGGTATAGTAATATTTATAACATATATGTTGACATATAATCAGAAAAGGCAGGATAAAAAAACAAACAAACAAAAAACATAGCTCACCATGATGCTTTTGTGAATGAAACCTCTTCTGTACCGTGCAGGTTTTAGATGTGGATATTCTTCTGTACTGGTGATTTTGATATTCCAAACTTTTTTCCAGGCATCATAAAGTTGAACATGAACAGGATAGACGCCGGAATGGTGTGGAGCCACAGCATATCCCAGATCAGTTGGGATGCCATGTTCCTGAAACAGCAAAATAAAATCCTATATGAAGGATAGCAACCAATGCACACATATGAGCACGTCCTCCTACAAAAGTATGAACTTATCCAAACAATGCAATTATTCAGGTCAGTTTCAAGACCTACATGCAAAGCTTCTTTAGCTTTGTACACTTCCTGTTTTATCTAGGATATGGTGCAATATTTTATAGGCGTTCTGTTTTCTTTGCTCTATCTCCATGAGCTTAATTTAGCTCTAGTCCAACCAGCATGCAAACTAGATTTCTCTTTTGATGTGATAATGTAAAATTGTATAACATTTATGTATGTTTTCCTATCAAAACATTTATCTGCTAATATGCAAATAAACCCCTCCTAGGACCATCTTGTTAATTTAAATAAGTAGTTTATTTTTAAATCTTGGTTGAACACCCAGTTACTCTGATAATGGCAAATCAGTTCCCACTGTAAGGCTGTTGAGCTTTAAAGCTTAACATGGTGACTCCTGTGAAATTTTGAATACTCTTTTTGCCTGCTTAAATTTAAATGTCTCATAAATGCCAAGGCAATATGCTGATTGGCACCGAGTTTCTTCTTAATGCTTTTTTTGATGAACTGAAATACAAGTTTTCTCAAGGAACACTGCTTGTTGCACAATAATCAATACAGCTTTGTTTCTACATAACTCCAATTTTTGTGTGAATTACAGCAAGAGTAATGTAATGTAATATTAGGTTTGTTTTAAAAATTATGTTTTAAATGCTTCTCTCTGGTTCCAGTGGTTTGTGTGTACATAATACATTGTATGGGAACACTAGCTTTAGATTGGCTTTAGGGCGCAAAGTATTTTTACGGATTTCAGAAAATTGAAGGGTTTTTGATCTGATACAAGAAAATCTTGTTTGGAAGTCATTTATAATGAACACAGTGGAACTGTATTTCTACATAACTCTCATTATTGTTAGTGCTAGTGGCACTTCTTTTCACTGGATCTCCATCTGACCTCTTTGTATAATTATTTAAAATTGGGGTATGTATTGCTGTGGAAATAATTTGAAATGTATAGGAGTATTAATAAAGCACTTGGCTGCAACTTTTTAGATTTTTTAAAATGTAAGATCCACACTGTATGTTTATAAAATGGATATTTCAATTTTCAGGTATAATTAAAGATATAATCAATCAATCATCAATATTACTTTTGAAAAATCAGAATTTTCTCAGTTATTGCAAAGTGAGGATATTCAATAACAATGCATGAAACTATCTATATTCTTTATGTAGTGACAATGACTATCATTTATACTTACAGTAATTAAGACAAGTACTTTCAATGTTTTGTATGGAGAACGATCTTTGGGTAGGTGGCAGCACCTAACTGCCTTGCATAAATCGGGAGAAACTATCCAGGGTCAGACATGTCCAGTATTTGAATGGCAGATCGCCAAAAAATAACACATGTACAGGATGGATTGGGAAATGAAAAAAAGCAAACACAATCTATTGATTTGTTTAATATGTATGTGAAGCCTGCATCTGTGTCTGATCATTCAAGTAGTGCCATTATTGTTCCCCTAGCCCCGGAGTAGGCAACCTCGGCTCTTTTATGACTCATGGACTTCAACTCCCAGAATTCCTGAGTCAGCTATGCTGAATCAGGAATTCTGGGAGTTGAAGTCCATGAGTCATAAAAGAGCCGAGGTTGCCTACCCCTAGCCTGTCTGGGAAATACTAACTGAAAGAGTACAAAGATGAAAATGAATACAATTTTGGAAATTCTGTGCCTTAAGACCCATGGTGGCACAGTGGTATGCAATACTGCAGGCTACTTCTGCTCACTGCCAGCAGTTCGGCAGTTCAATCCTCACAACTACAGGTATCAGAGCAATCGGTCTAGCAACCGTTCTGTAGTCACTCAGCTCTGTGATGGAAGGTTTCTTGAGAAGTAGAACATTTGATAGTAGAACATTTGAAGCAAGAAAGAACATAACACATTTCCAGTGATTTATTAAAGATGCAATAAAGATGGAGGCCAGTTGATCAGCATAGGCTTTCAAGAAGGAAAGGTCTGGGCCTGGTGTTTTTCCTATCTTTTGTCTATAAAACAGACCTCGCACGTCTTTTTCTAAGATCATCAGAGGTCGGGGGCCCAGAGAAATGGAGATAAGTGTAGGAGATTTGGCTATTGTTGGTATATTTAATATGGGGAGGGTAGTGATAGTTGATAGTGATCTCCTCTCAAACCCACAGTAGAGTACAGTAGAGCACATACAGGTCATCTGCCAGTTGCCGATTTTCTTCCACGAGGGAGGTCGGTCTGCTGTATCCAATCATATTCTTCAGGCTTTTCCACAATTTACTGCTTCATTTGCTGAGAACTGATTTCATTTAAATGTACGCATTGTCCTGTTTCAGAACAAGCATATACCACAGGCTTCAACAGTTACTTCATAAAAACACAAAGGCAATGGCTGTCAGTGTAAATATGTGTGGTGTCACGTGCACATTTGAGCAAAGTACACACAAACAAGTTTGCCTGAAAATGAGTCTAACTCTAAAACATTGAACAATAGCTTATCAGGCCGTGATCCAAAATCCAAAGGATTCATAGGAAGTTCAACAGCTGATCCGAGATCAGAGTAGCAGAATTTCAGGATCCAAGAGTTCTGAGGCATGACTTTGTAGGTTCTAGGCTAGAGTGATTGTCCCCAAGAAAGATGTACCATAGGGTACACCTTAGCTTTATGTAAAGCAACCCCTTGGTGGGAATTAATTATGGACAATGCTGAATGCTACTTATTTTTGTTAAAGGGTGTGATGTGCACTGGGCTGCTCCTCAGAACTGAGATCCTTGTCATGATCCTTGTCATTCAGTTGCTCCAAATGACTGTCAGCAGTGTCGGCCTCAGGTACTTTGCTGATTCTTCGGAGTGTCGTCCATACCGTGAATCTCTTTAGCATCAGACTCCTCAGAGTCCAAGTTGTGTGTGACAAAATTTAACCAACTGTTTCATCCAACTATATGTATGGAACATATATAAGGAATCATTTTTGTGATCTCAGAGGTGTGATTTCGAATATGCATGTGTATGTATTTTTGTACACAGGCAAATGCCTTGTTCTTGGCTGAGGAACTGAGTGATTTGTTGCGAATGTTAGACAGATTGCCTGATGCAAAAAGACATATGGACTTGAAAATTAATGTATTAAGAACTCAGGAAGTTGTGTATGACAGGGAAAATGTGGTCGTAATTACAAGGTATTTAAACATAATGAAAAATTATACCAACTCTAATCTATATCATTATATGAATCCATCTATCTTGGGAGTATGTTTACTAAACATAAAGATAATGGATGGAGAAATCAGTGTGGATAATGTGGTTGGATGTGAGGAAAGTTTCTCAAATAAATTTAAATGATTGTGTGCGTCACTTTGTTATCATCTATAAGTGGGTGATGAATTGAATGTAGATTAAATAATAAACTAAGTGATCAATATGAAAGAAGCGTTCTGTGGTAATTTGGATAATACAGAATGAGAGAATGGATACTGAATCACAGTACAAATACGTGAATGGATCAAGAGGAAAAAGGGAAGACTAAGAAAGTTGTAAACTGGTGAGAAGTTGTAGGAGTAAAAAGTTCCTCAAAAAGTAGTGAGAAGTTTAGAGGCAATTTATGAAATGGTATAAAGATGTGGTGGAAACAAGAAAGATATGAAGTGGTTTAATGAACGGTGCTGGGGTATTCTAGGATGAGTTAAATCTTTTTCTTTTCTCTTATTTTATGCATTTAATTTATTTTGCTCACTGCTTTTCATTCTGTTTCAGTACGATGCACAGTTCTGCTTACTTCAAAAGGGAACAACAGTGTGATGGGCATGCATTTGTATGGAGGATTCTTTTAATGAACTGCAGCCACGGTTACCTGAGTGTTAGGTACACAGGTACTCTGTAACATAAATGACTCTGCTCTGTAATTCTATTATTTCATCTAGTGGCAGCATAACTAAGTTGGAATTCATAAATTAAAGTTGTACTTCAAGACAATCTCAATATTTAAGGTGGGATGCTTAATTTAAATACTTTGTACTCTGTATCAGTTATATATCATTTCTACTAAATCTAAATTTAACTCACTAAGGCAAATTTTTTGTTGAGAATCATTTGCTCCACTAGTGAAGATTCATTATGGAACAGATGAGGTTGCATGTGACTCCACATATGAGGAAACCACCAGAATTCATCAACAGACCCCAACAATAAATCATCTCCTTCATCTTCTTCTACAGTGCCTGTAGAAATAAATAATCTATTAAATAATATTCTCATTTTTGAAAGAACTTTGTCACAATTATTGGAAGCATGGTGAACATTTAAACTGCAACAAATTACAGCAGGAAGATCAAATCAATCTCAAATTCATAGCAACAATTCATAAGCAACCAACTATCTGAGACAGAACGCAACATATTTGATGAAGTTACTCAAGGCATAATTTAGAGTAACAGTGAGTCCCCTGCAAATCCATCAGGTTTATACCCTGTAACAGAATAGATCCAAGAAACTGGCAAAAACCTAAGTGATTAGATTGCATTTTGCAGTCTGATCTTGTTAGGACAAGCATGATTTGAAAATAAGCCAAAGTAATAACAGTCATAACAGAATGCCAGTATATTTTGAGCTAGAACATAAGCAGTTCCATTGACCTACATTAGAGTCCATCTGTGTACTCAATGAATAAGACAAGAAATATATCAAATAACATCTAATGAAAGTTATTTTACATTTATGTTGATTATCACATTATATTACTATAACTGCATTTTTATTTAAGAACAGGTATTCTGGGCTATGACTGTAACAGACATTTCTATGATTGGATTCCTATTACAGTGATAGGTCTATGATTGTAATGGAGATTCCTATTATTGGATTCCTACTATAGTGATAGGCATATTTCCCAGAATGACCACTCAGAAGTAGTAAGGATTAGGGCAGAAGTATAAGCCACTGAATGATAAATATACAATTTAAAAAGAAGGTTGATTTAGTTAAAGAACATAGTTAATTTAAATATATTTGCATATTAAAGCAGTATATGTGCTTATTTAATAACTGAAAGCCATAATTTGCAAGCATCTCTACTGTGTGTCACAACTGAAGGTGTCTACATTATAATTTAACATATTGTAGGCTGTATCCTGGATCTCATAGATGTTTGTTGGGTTCTTTTATAAATGTATTTTAACTTTGCTTTAAATTTTATTTTGTTTATCATCTAAGATAGTCTGTATATATTCACAGAACACTCTGCTTGCACTGGTCCATGACTGCAATAAGCTGAATTGAACTGTGAAGAATAATTATAATTACAATTGAAAGTGTATATTTTGCTGAAGTAAATTGTTCTGTTAATTTATATGTCCAGCTCCTGGGTAAACATGATATAATTTATGATTACACTTAAAATATCACATTCTTACTATAAATCTATTTTGCTTCTCTTGAGGTCTACAGCTGGCTAAAATTCATATTCAACAGCACTTGCTATATATGTTAAGAATATATTGATTATATTTAATTCCACAAAGTTTTTATATAAATAAAAGTTTACTATTGTCAGAATATAAGGGGCAAAGTTTTATATTTTTAATACCAAAGCCTGACTTTAGCCTTGCTAAGTACTAACATAAAAAAATCTGTAATATACACATTAATAACTACATAAACCCATAAAGTTTTTCGTATCAATATTTTCCTTCAAGAAAGTTATTTTTTTAGCTAGCGTCCCTTTTTCCAAACTTATATGATGTTTCCTGTCAAAAAGAGATCTTGAAGCAGATATGAAAAGCAGCTTCTGAAAAGGGCTTTTAGCTCTGTTTGCCAGAGGCGAATATACCTTAAGTTTATCTTAAGGTATAGTGGTTAATTTACAAATTGACATGACACCACAGAGTAAATCAGAACCTGCCTCAGCTATAAGTAATTGCTTTATTCTTAAACCTTAATGGGTGAATCTGTCCCATTCATTCAATACTTATTGTGTGAATGGGACTGAAAGCTTGTGCAGAACATTGAAATCACATGCACCGATTTCCTACAGCTTTCAATAAATATCATTTTACATATCTTAAATACTATCTATTCCCAGTCTCTTCATTGGCTGTTCAGAAAGGAAATAGCAGTTCAAACTGATATAGCAGCCTGCTTGGGATCATTACATTTTAGTAGTTCATTAAAACTGATGACTCTATGACAGAACAATATGGTTACTTCAGGGATGAGGCAACTTAAAGAGATACATTCAGATAATTACGGTATGTAGATGTATAATTTCAGAAGTCCCTGAGAGGCTGAATAGTGTCTGTGTTCTATATATGAGGTAAATTAATTAAGTCCATGATGAGCTTCTCATCATAAGCACTGTAAATTGTTGTTGTGATGACAGCACAATCACAATGACTTTTTTGCATAGTATAATCTTGATACAGTGCATTCAGAAAGCATTCAGACCCCCTTCACTTTTGTCAGTTTTGTTATGCTGCAACCTGATTCTACAGTTGTTGAAATTCATTTTTTTCTCACTAATCTACACTCTGTACCCCATAATGACAAAGTGAAAACAGAATTTTAGAAATGTCTATAAGTTTTTTAAAAAGAAAAAACTGAAATAGCACATTGGCATAAGTATTCCGACCCTTTGCAACATACTTGAAAGTTACCTCAGGTGTCTCCCATTTCTCTTGATTGTTGCTGACATGTTTCTACACCTTGATTAGAATCGACCTGTGGTAAATTAAATTGATTGGACATGATTTGGAAAGGCACACACCTCTCTATAGAAGGCCTCACAGCTAACAATGCATACTGTAGCAGATCAAAAATCGTGGGTCAAAGGAACTGCCTGCAGAGCTCAGACACAGGATTATTGCAAGGAACAGATCTGGGGAAGGCTACAATAAAGTTCCTGCTGCATTGAAGGTTCCCCTAAGACAGGGGTGTCAAACTGCCGGCCCGCGGACCGGATGCGTTACGTCGAAACCACACCCATCCATTGCCGGCAATGGGAAAAAAGTCGTGATACGACATGTCACGTGACATCGTGAGTTTGACATCCCTGCTCTAAGAGCACAGTGGCCTCCATTATTCTCAAATGAAAGAAGTTTGGCACAACCAGGACTTTTCCAAGAGCTGGTTGCCCGGTCAAACTGAGTAATCGGAGGAGAAAAGCCTTAGTAAGAAAGGTGACCAAGAACCCAATGATCTTTCTGACTGAGCTCCAGACATTCTGTGTGCAGATGGTACAGAGTTCCAGAAGGACAAACATCACTGCAGCCCTTCATCAGTCTGGGCTTTATGGCAGAGTGGCTAGACAGAAGCCTCTCCTCAGTGCAAAACACGTGAAAGCCTACTTGGAGTTTGCAAAAAAGCATCTAAAAAACTCTCAGACTGTGAGGAATAAGATTCTCTGGTCTGATGAAACAAAGATTGAACTGTTTGGCCTCAATTCTAAATGTTATGTTGGAGGAAACCAGGCACCGCTTATCACCTGCCCAATATCACCCTAACAGTGAAATATGGTAGTGGCAGCATCATGCTGTGGGGGCATTTTTCAGCAGCAGGGGCTGGGAGACTGGTCAGGCTTGAGGGAAAGCTCAGTGGAGCAAAGTACAAGGATATCCTCAATGAAAACCTGTTCCGCAGCACTCAGGACCTCAAACTGGGCTGAAGGTTCACGTTCCAACATGTCAACTATCCTAAGCACAGAACCAAGACAACACAGGAGTGGTTTAGGGACAACTCTATGATGTCCCAGAGTGGCCCAGGCAGAGCTCTGACTTGAACCCTATTGAACATCTCTGGAGGGACCTGAAAATGGCTGTCCACCGACGGTCGCCATCCAACCTGACTGAGCTTGAGAGGATTTGCAGACAAGAATGGCAGAAAATCCCCCAATCTAGGTGTGCAAGCTTGTCGTGTCATAACCAAAAAGACTTGAGGCTGTAATTGCTGCCAAAGGTGCTTCAACAAAGTATTGAGTGAATATGTGATATTTCAGTTTTTTTTGGTTTAATAAATTTATTGACATTTCTAAACTTCTATTTTCACTTTGTCATTATGGGGTACTGAGTATATATTAATGAGAAAAAATGAATTTCAACAAGTGTAGGATCAGGCTGCAGCATAACAAAACTGACAAAAGTGAAGGGGGTCTGAATACTTTTGAATGCATGGTAGGTGAATGTGGAACTAATATAGACAGCTGTAGATGAGCAAGACAAACTTGGTAGAATACCAAAGGTTGAAAAATTGCTTTTACTTGCCAGCGGGACTGCACTGGAAGAATTGTATATTAGTAATACCACTTTTCAGATAATGAAGCTGAAGCTCAATTACTTTGGTCATCTAATGAGAAGAGAGGACTCATTGGAAAAGGCCTTGATGTTGAGGAAGATTGAAGGCAAAAGTAAAAGGGGACGGCAGAAGATGAGATGGTTAGATTGTGTCATCATTGCAATGAACATGAATTTGGGCAAATTCTGGGAGATAATGGAGGACAGGGAAGCCTGTCATGCTATGATCTATAGGGTTGCAAATAGTTGGACATAACTTAGCAATTGAACAACAATAATACCACTTTTATTATTTATACTAGTGGCTGTCAGTGATGTTATTCATATATTTTATTTTAATTCAAGAATAAAATACCTCATCACTCTCTCGTTTCATCAGTTCTTTGTACATCCTTTGTACATTGTATTTTTACTGAACAAAGTTTAAGGAAACAAATCAGGGAATAGAATTTCTACATGACATACTAAGTATACATATTGGGTCAATTTTTCAATATAAGAAAGCTTTTCCCAGAGTCATATCTTGCAGATATGTTAGGCTAATTCCTCAAAATATTTTTCAGCATGGCTGATATGTATTGGTAAGTCTACAGGTTGCAGGGCATCAGATTATTACATTCTGAATTAGAAATCTCAGTTGTCAAGTCTCTTTTTTGCCCTCAGATCAAATGTTTAAGAGAAACCTTTCCTATGTATTTCCCTACTATTTGCTCTAGTGTAGTATACTACTAACTATATTATTGTTATCCACACAAATTACTTAAACATGGTCCACGAGATAGCATCATCACTACACTGTCAGAATGTTAAAATTATGATATTCCTATAGATAATACAACAGTCCCACAGCTAAATACAACATTGTACATAAGGAGGAGTTTGTTAATTTTTTTTTAGCTTTATTCTGCTGAAGGAATTTTTCTTTTTTTAAATGCTCCCAAAGGTCTTTTCTTTCATTTCATTTCATAGCATAAAGTGAAACCACCGAAAACAAATTCCAATTATCTGCAGTGCACAAATGGAGAATAATTTTTACCTGTGTGGTAAAATTTCCCTGAAAATCCCAGATTGAAAGTAAAATTTGTAATTTGAGCTCTTAGAAGGTTCTGAGTATCAAGCAGAGCCTGAAATAAAATAGAAATTAAAATGCATTAGATACATACTAAATGCAGGTTACACTTTTCAGGGCTGTATAACAGAAGCAAACTGCTTACCTTCAAAGCATCTTCCCCCAAATTTCTTAACCTCTGATTAAATACCAGCAATTCAGAAATTTTATTTTTATTCAGTTTGATTTTTTCTTGTAGACTACCATTATCAACAGACATTAAAATGAAGCTGGATCTCTGATGACGCTTCTTTCTGAGGAACCCTCTGAAAAGTTTTAGTCAGAATTAAGCAGCAATGGGGAAATATTGGAGACTTGTAGACAATATACCAGGTTTCTTCAAACTTGGCCCTTTTATGACTTGTGGATTTCAACTCCCAGAATTCCTCAGCCAGACACGCTGGCTGAGGAATTCTGGGAGTTGAAGTCCACAAGTCATAAAAGGGCCAAGTTTGAAGACCCCTGCAATATACCAAATTTAAAAATAAGAATCTTCTTCTTTCACAGACCATTCATAAATTGTATTTGCGAAACCCTATAATTTTTTTTAAGTGATCCAATACTTTCAGATATTATAAAATTAAATGTTGGGATTACAGGTAGTCCTCGACTTACAATAGTTCACTTAGTGATTGTTCAAAATTATAACAGCACTGAAAAAAGTGACTTATGACCATTTTTCGCATTTATGACCATTGCAGCATCCCCATGGTCAATTGATTTACATTTGGATGCTTGTCAACTGATTCACACTTATGACGGTTGCCGCATCCTGGGGTCATATGATCACCTTTTGCAACTTTCTGACAAGCAAAGTCAATGGGGAAGCTAGACTGACTGAACAGCCATGTTACTAATTTAATATCTGCAGTGATTCACTTAACAACTGTGGCAAGAAAAGTCATAAAATGGAGCAAAACTCACTTAACAAATTTTTCACTTAGCAACATAAATTTTGGGCTCAGTTGTGGTTGTACGTTGAGGGCTACCTGTAAGTTGGATTTTATCTTTCCTATCAAATTACAGATAAAGGTTGGTGTGTTAAAAACAAAGTCGAGTGGAAAGCAGAATAAAATTAAAGAAGAAAAAAGTGCAGTGTGCTTTTATTCGTGGAATGGCATTTCAAAACTCCCTGAATGTCCCTCCTGATAAATAAGAAGCAATAAAATTAGCCTCTTTTTGCAATGGCTTCTTTAGGATTTGCCTAATAACTTTAGGAAAAAGTCTAATAAACCTGGGAACATTTCTGCTTTGAATAAAGCAGCAGAGCCAAATCCCGCAACAATCAATTAAAATGCATAGACTTATGTTAATTATATGACATTTTCCCATTCTCTGCACTGGGAAATTACATTAGCTGCATATACTATACTGATCATCTTATGCCTGTAACATGTCCTTCTAGCTCAGGGATGTCAAACTGTCGGCCCGCGGGCCGGACGTGTCATTCAGAAGCCACGCCCACCCCATTGCCGGCAATGGCAAAACCGTCCCGATATGTTGCGTGACATCACATAACATCACGAGTTTGACATGTCTGCTCTAGCTGATGCCTATGGCTGAAACAGAAATACAAAGCTAAATTGCCCCTGAAGATTAGATAGATACTTGATGCTAAACCTCTAATTACCAAATCAGTACAGGTAGTCCTCAACGTACGACAATAATTGAGTCCAAAATTTATGACTTTTGCCCCATTTTACAAACTTTCTACTTTCTCATAACACGGTTGTTAAGTGAATCTGGCTTCCCCACCAACTTTGCTTGTGAGAAGGTCACAAAAGGGGATCACATGATCACCTGGGATACTGCAACGGTCATAAATATGAGTCAGGTGCCAAGTATCTGAACTTTGATCACATGACCTTGGGGAGGCTGCTATGGTCGTAAGTATGAAAAATGATTATAAGTAACTTTTTTCAGTGCTGTTGTTGTAACTTTGAACGGTCTTTAAATGATCTGTTTAAGTCGAGGACTACCTGTACTTGACTGACCTATAACTTGAACTCCTAATGAGGTACAAGACACTAATTAGAAAGCTAATAATTTTCACAGCAAACAAGCGCCTCTTGCAGATGCCAAATTTATTTTTCCCTTACAATTAGTAACTTTCCCAAATACTAAAGATTTTTTTAAAAAATAAAGCAAACTTTCAGATTACTGCACATGATTTTAAAACTGTGCAAAAAATTTACCAATTGATTCTTAATTTGTGTAATTACTGTAAATAGAAAACATAGCATAGAGTAGTGTCTTCTAAACAGGGGGTGCTGGTCACTTAGAAACCATATTCTTAATAGACAAGCTTAGTTAACATTTTGGTTGTTATGCCTCTGATTATTTTCTGGATGACTTGACATTTTACTTGTCATTTAGGTTCTAAAATCAGAATGTTAAAGCTTATGAAAAATATAGAACAGCAGATGGCAGGGAATATTTCACTGTTTCTCTGTGACTATCTCAGAATGCGAACGCTTTCATGTGGAGGCAGAAAAAGAGGGAGGGAGAAACTAAATTTCATTTCTAAATGCTCTGCAATATTCAATGTAAGCTCTTGAGATACTTTATACAGGTAGTCCTTGAATTACAACAGTTCATTTAGTGACCGTTCAAAGTTACAGCGGCACTGAAAAAAGTGATTTATGACCATTTTTCACACGACCGTTGCAGCATCCCCATGGTCATGTGATCAAAATTTAGATGCTCGGCAACTGGTTCATATTTATGACAATTGCAGTGTCCCGGGGTCACGTGATCCCCTTTTGCAACCTTCTGACAAGCAAAGTCAATGGGAAAGCCAAATTCGCTTAACAGCCATGTTTCTAACTTAATAACTGCAGTTATTCACTGAACAACTATAGCAAGAAAGTTTGTAAAATGGGGCAAAACTCACTTAACAAGTGTCTCGCTTAGCAACAGAAATGTTGGGCTCAATTGTGGTTATAAGTTGAGGACTACCTGTATATCCTTTTCACTTACCCTTATGAATTGCACGTCTGAGTATTTATCTCCATGAACTCACCTACACAGATTAAACGTTGCAGATAACTATACTTTATAATCTGCTCTTGGACAGTTGGATACATTTATTTTGCATATAGTGTAAATACTGTATAAAATACTAAGTAGATGCACACTTGTATTTTTTCGCAGCCCTCAGCCAAATATGATGTGCTACTGTAAACAGAAAATGTTGAAACAAAATCCAAGAACTTTACTGGCATGACAAAGGGGTGGTCAAACTTCCTAAATGACAGGTGTATTATACAGCTGATGGAATAAAACATTAGTATTATTTTGTGCAGTTACATAGCGACTTCAGAAAACCATTTGTTCTGCTTTTTATTAACAAAAAAAGGTACTATCATCTGTTCTGAAAAATGTTCTTAAGAGGTAATGGTTTTGAAAGTGCTGTACGTTATATGTATGCATAACTATTTACAATATTACTTAAAGCAGCAAAAAAGAGAGCATCTTTAACAAATCGTCAAGCAACTTCACAGAGACCAATAATAGAAAGAAAACACCATTATAATAATATAGACTATTTCTGAATGTGGTTTTATTTCCAAACCACAGTCATTATGAACAGATTCCATACATACGAAAAGTGAAATAATCTACATCCCAGTGAACATCAACCCAATACAGAAACTAGACAACGGGTTCAAGAGAACTCTCAGTGACCTCACAAAAAAGGCCAAATCACCAAAGAGGAACAGTGGCGGATGAGAAGCTGTGGACCCATCCTCCCATGCTTCTATGGATGCCCCTAAATACACAAGCTTGACATATCCCTCTGTACAATTGTATCATTACCAGGAAGCTCTATCTACACCATCGTGAAAGAATTAACAAAAAGCTTGAGTACCTCACAGGGAGAAGCACACACTACAGAAATTCCCCACTACAGTGCCTTCAGACAATCAAAGACATGACAATAGATGACGATGAAATCCTGGTCTGATTTGATGTCACAGCCCTTTTCACATCCATAGACCTGGAATTAGCCAAAGAATTTATGATGACATTGCTCCACAGGAGACCCAATTTAACTGAATACAAGGAAATTGAAACATGCAGGATCATGGATCTTACCAACCTCTGCCTAACCACCTACTTTTAATTTGATGGACAAACTTATCGACAAATCAAAGGTACACCTATGGCTGTGGTGGCAAACCTAGGCATGCAGAACCCTCTCTGTGGGCACGCGTGCCATTGCCCCAGTCCTAGGCCTTCAGCTGGGTTTTATAAAACCTTTTCGCTTTAGGCCTCTGCCGCCGTGTGCAAAAAAAAAAAAGGTTCAATCAATCAATCAATTTCAACATCTCGCGGGAAAAAAAAGATCTCGCAAAGTTGGAATTGATTGATTGAACTTTTTAGTCCCACCCAGTCTGCTGTTACCACCACAGTCATGTCCACCCAATGGGCCACACCCACCCAATTGGCCACACCAACCCAATGGGCCACACCCACCCAATGGGTCATGCCCACCTGGCACCTGATGGTTATAAGTGGGTTTGGGTTACAGTTTGGGCACTCGGTCTCTAAAAGGTTCACCATCACTGACCTATGGGATTACCGCTTTCGGGACTCATAGCAGAGTTTGCAATGCAACCTCTGGAAGCAAAGGCATCCCACAAATATAACCCAAAAAATGCATCAGACATATAGACAACATCTTCACCATAATATAAAAGGACCAATTAGACAACACCCACAAAGCCATCAACAACATCTTCAAAGGAATCCAATTCACCAGAGAATAAGAAAACTGTTGTGGCTCCGTCCGGTGGGTCCCTCTCATCAGAGGAGGAAGGCTCTGAACATGACGGAGAGGAGATGGCTAGGCCTCTCTCTCCCGGCCCTTCCCCTCTGGTGCAGCCTTCGGTGCCTTCCGACAGCGAGGAGTTTGGCCAGGAGCCCGGTGTTTCTGGGATTGGCCAGGAGCCCGGTGCTTCTGGGATTGGC